GGATGGATGGATGGATGGAAGGAAGGAAGGAAGGAAGGGTGGGTGGGTGCATAGATGGATGAATAGACAGTAGGATGGATGGACGGATGGAGAGATGGATGCCTGCGGCGGGTAGGCGGGTGAATAGACAGGAATGTGAGTAAACTGGTGGATGAATACGTGTATGGACAAACAGGTGGATGGGTGGTCGGAGGGAGGATGGTGGGTGATGGACGTGATCATGCACAAATGGAACAGAGGTTCACGTGGCATTGGGGGTAGGTTCTCATGGAATAACTGTTCTTACTAAAAGCGAGAGGCCGCAGACGAGGAAGCCATCCCCGTGGCAAAGCCAATGTCATGCCCCGGGGAGACACACCCTCACTTTGCACTTCCTGCTCTCTGCTTAGCAGGGTTCCCATCCAGTTTTACCCTCAGTATGACTGAACCAGTTCATGGCTGGCAAACTGGGCAGCCCAGTCATTCTGCAGGAGCCCAGGACCACCCCTTGCTCGGTCCTGGCTTCCAGACCCCGTGAGGCAGCCAGGCATCAAGCCGCCAGAGGGCCACTGACCACAGAGTCAGTGAGGGAGAGGGGTTCCAGAGCCTCCATAACTGGGGAACTGGTGTGATTCCGAGCCTGAGGTGTGGGGTGGAGGCTGTGGCGCCTGGAGCAAGCTGCACCTGCCAGCCTTCTGGCTCCACAGGGCTCCCGCCTCTGTTAGGAGGGGACGGATTGCTGGCCAGTGTCCCCAGCAGGAAGTCCCCAGAGAGGACGCATTCTCGGGAACCACGGACTCCTGGGTCAGAGCGTATAGGCCGGGGCCCCGGGGGCTGCGTCCTGCGGAAGCACGGGGAGGCGGATGGGGCCGCGGCGCTGGCTGTCGCAGGAGCTGTGCCACACGGGGCTGTGCCAATCGGGGGGTGGGGGGCAGAGTCCCCAGTGGATAGCCGGAAGTCAGGAGGGCCACACACGCCGACGTCCACTAGAACAGCCCCGCGGGGGCCTCACCGTCCACCTGGCTCTGCCCCCACCCCCTAACCCCGCGGCTCCTTCCTCTTTTCCGCATGAAACCTCCCTTCTGTCAAAAACAATAAAAATAGTGTTTGAGTTCAGGAAGGAAAACGTGCTGGGAAGGGAAGAGCCACTGCATTTTCCAGGTCGTCCAGGGGTGCCCTTCGGACCTTCATTCCAAACCAGCTCTGCGGGGTGTGGTCACAAAAACCAGGTGCAAGTTCAGAGTCGCCGCCCCACACGACGCCCCGGGGCCCCCAGACGCGGGCGGGGGCGGCCGGTCCCACCTCGGCTCCTTCACACACACGAAGCGAGGCCTGAGGGGAGCCCACACCCCGTGGGCCCCTGTTTGGGAGGCTGGGGCCCCCTCTGCTGGGACTCCTGGGTCAGAGAGTGGCATGCCCTTGGGGACGGTGGTGCCTCTGAGGCGGGCACCAGAGCCAGCTGCTCGAGCCCTGAGCGGGTCCCAGTCGTCCCAGCGTCTGTCCCGCAGACAGCGTCTGGCCTTCAAGTCCGTCAGGTGGGGGGCTGGGTGGGAGCAGCCTGGGGCCCCTGCGGCAGCACGGGAGGCACGGGACCAGTCCCGGGGGGCCCCTCGCCCCTCACTGTTGTGGGGGGGACCCCGGGGTGGGGAACCAGCTGGGAGCGCGCCTGCCAGCCCACCTGTGACATGGGTCCTCGGCGGAGGAGGGGGAGCCTGGTCCCTGCTCCCAGAAGGAGCACTGTCCCCGCGGGGGTCGGGGGAGAACCGTACCCGCGTCCCCACGTAGTGGCCACCAGACTCCCAGGCAGGGGCTCCATCAGGCCCGAACCGGAAACCCCGAGAGCCTTTTCCTTAGAGGAAGGCGGGCGTCCCCGAGGCCCCGAAACCACCTCCGCCGCGGGGCAGCGGCAGGCAGGCGGGGCTGGCGTGAGGCTGTCCTCACTGCCTTCCACCCCAGGAGGCCCCCAGGGGATTGGAGGGGAGGCTCTGGTCCCAGACCCTCCCCGACTGCCATCAAAGCCCTTCTCCCCTGGGCCCCACTCTCTCCCGAGGGTCCCTCCTGCCGTCCACTTGCTCGGCGCACAATTACAGAGTGACAAGCCCACGCGAGCGCCTGACAAGCCGTGGCCTCCAGGAGGCCTCGTTTGGACGCTCCTCTCTCCAGCCAGAGAGAGAGAGAGAGAGAGAGAGAGAGGCGGGTCAGGTGCCCGGCCCTCGCTGCCCGGCCCACCTCCCAGCAGGGCCCTGGCGAGCGCGACCTCTCAGACCACCCCGCGCCAGCCTGGCGCCCAGCACAGGCCAGAGCCCACCGTCCCGCCGGGCCCGCCAGCGCAGGCCGCTCGCCCAGCCTCCTCCCCCCGCCCCGGCCGCTCTCAGGGGACCCGGGCAGGCCGCCCCGTCTCGGCGCCAGGCAGGTGCCAAGGGCGGCTGTGGGGAGCCCCTCCTCCCGGGGAGGGCTTCCTGAGGGGTGCCCGGTGCCCGCTCACTACCTGCCCAAGGAGGCCCCAGAACCCTGGGGGCCCTCGGTCCTGTGGGCATCGCGGGGCCTGTTTTGGCAAGAGCATCTCGAGCAGCAGCGCTCAGCACCAAGAACAGAC